TTTTTTCATAGGTAAAATACTTATTTATTATTTAAGTAAATATTTTACCAGAGGATTATTCATCCTATATGATGATCTCAGCTTGAGCATCATCAACTTGTAACAGTTTTTGGGTGCATTCGTTAATAGCAGTTGCTCTGCAACGGGAGTGCGCTGCTGTTTGTAGGCATTTAGGAATGACAGTGGAAGAAAGATGGTGGCGCCTGCACTATTGATAGTATCGTGATGGAGGAATTTATAATTCTAAAATGAGCTTTTAGAGGCAAAAGAAGGGTCCCAATTGTAAAATTTAACCATTAAATGGATTATTGTTGAAAGAGCATTCAAAGTAGCCACGAAAACAATTAGAATGCTCGCACGGAGTTATGCGAAAGTATAAAAGAACGCACCCTTTATTACATTTCATGTTGTACGAGGGTTTTATCCAATTCCCGAACTGTGTTAGAGTGAACCCGTGCTATAAAACCACCATGTTATACGGGGGATGTTCCCAATTCTCAAACCGTGTTAGAGTGAATCCGTGCTATAGAAGTGCCGTGTTATACGTGGGTTACCTGTATATTTTTTCATACATAATTGGTTATCCGAAAAATCGATTTTCCGAACAACCCCAGTCTCCAATTGATTTGGATAATCGATGCTCTACTATATTTGTTTTATTTGAGTCTTTAATTAATAAAAAATGACTAAACACCATTTTAATGTGCATTTTTATTCAACTAATATATTTATAAATAATATATAATAGTGAGAACATACAGGTTAATACAATAATAAAAGTTTTAAAGAACTTGGCAGAAAACAAAAAGAATTATCAAAACAATTGGTATAACAAACTTAGGATAAAATTGGAAAGTTATGGTTTGTCTTATTTACTATTTAACAGTACAGAAACAGACTGGAATTGCGGAATTTCTTTATTGGTGGAGAATATGCATAATAATTCAATTGATTGTGAGATGAAAAATTTACAGGAGTCAAAATTTTACCCATGGTATATAGTTAATTTAAATTTCCCTCCAGCAAATAATTATATTCATTATAAAATACCATTTGGGATGAAAAGATTTTATATGCAGATCAGACTAAACAGTTTTTATATTATAGTTGAAGGGAATTATTTGGATATCAGGAATAAACAATGTAGGCTGTGTAATGACCAAATTTCTGTATATCATATAATTAGTTTGTGCACGGGTTGTTCCAAACTTAGAGAACAGACTAGTATTTCCACCTTGTCAGCCATCAAATCTATGCAAGAATTCTACCAAAAAATATTTCAGATGGGTCCAATTATGATTACCAAAATATATCAGTTCTTTATTAAATATATTAAAACGGTTGAGAGCCTTAATGAATGATTTATAAACTTACTTTTATTCTTGTTCTTACTTCTATCCAATATTATGTCACTTGATTAAATGTATGAATAGAAGATAATTTACATAATAATTATTTATTTGTCGGAAGATATATTATATATTCACTAATATTTGTAACCCAATGTACCCCTTGTAACTGGAATTTTTTCCAAATTACGCTAATAAACTTGAATTAAATTGAATATTTATAAATAATACATAGCCCAAAAAGTAACCAATGTGCCAACTGATATTTTTTACATCAAACTAATAAAAGGGTAGCAGAATCTTGCAACACTGAAAGGAATACTAAATAAAGCTGGTGTTGAGACTCAAAAGATTATAGACCCAAATGCGGGGAAAGGAGAAAGAGGACAAAAGATAAAGAAGTGAGGAAGGTTGGAAAATTAAGGGTCCATATTGCATAACAGGAGGTCTATTTAACCTTTCTCATTACTTTTTATCTTTAGGTCTTTTTCTCCTTTCCCCAAATTTCAGTCTATACTCCTTTGAGAGCCAACTCCAGCTTTATTTAGTGTCCTTCCTCATTCACACATTTCTAAGTATTTGAAAATATTTCTTTTCCACTCAAAAATAAAATATGTATTAAGGTTTATGGCTTTGTGAAACTTCTTTTTTGAATTTATGCCGTTGAAATAAATAAATAAATAGTTTAAAAAATTGTCGGTTTTGTGTACACATTTATTGGACCGCATTCGAACTTCCTTTGGGCCACATGCAGCCATCGGGCCGCGGGTTGGACACCCCTGATTTAGAGAATATTTACATCTTACATTTTGTAGTTGCTAAACAAACTTATAACTAAGTCAAAATATGAGTGAATAAATTCTGCCTTTGGCATTGTAGACCTGCAGTTATATCTAAATAAATTTTATAATAAACAAGAGAAATAAATAACTTAAAAGTTATTTATTAATATTTAATGAAATATAAAAAATTATTAAAATATTAAATTAAATGAAAATAATTTATTAAAGTTTAACAAAAATTAAAATTGAAAACTTACTCTAATCACTTCTTCAGGCATTCGTTCTTCAGGAGATTCTTCTTCTTTTGCCTCAAAATGTTCCAATTTTTTTTCTAGAAAAGCTTTTTCAGATTCAATAGCTTTTAATTTTTGTTGTAACTTCAAAACTAGTGACACATCAATATTTTCTGTTGGCTGATAATATATATAATTTTTTATAATTCTATAAAATAAAAAGAGTGCATATAATAATTTTTTAAATATTAACCTTATTGTCATCATGAGGACTATCTTCTTTACTAGCAGGAGAATGATCCCAAGAAATATCTTCTAATTTTCCATGAAGTGATGTTTTAGATCTTTGTGTTCCATACCCTACATCCTGAACAAAATTAATTTTTAATAAAACAAATATTTAAGCACCATTAAATATAAATTTTAATTAACAAGATATATTTAATGAAGCCAGTAAAATATTTTTTGCAGACAAATATCTTTGATTACTGTATTTCATAACTTGACAATGATTGCACAAGAGAGAAAAAATGTATTGTGGAAATTAATGAAGTATCCTACAACAATGCCCAATATAAAGAAATAATCCTGCCAATTTCAAAATCTTTGATTCTACAGTCCTGAGATATAATACAAAAATTTTGTAAAAGCTTTTTACATTTTTTGGCTCATGGAATGCCAAAGTCAAAAAAATGTTAAAAAACAGAGGGGGGTCAAAATTTAACTAATCATCACACTTTCACTATATTATCATCTATAATAGTCAGGAAAGTAAAAATCAGAGTTTAATAATACATCAACCTTCATGCATTAAATATGATCTCAGAATCTCTATGCTTTATACATTCTTTTTTTAAGCTCTATTTGTAAATTTCAAGCAATTCTGAATGATTAGCCAATGCTATATAATGGACTGGCTGAATTATCATCTTATAATTCATTATCTCAAAATTTTACAAGAATTGCATCTCTTAATTTTGTATATTTCTCTTGTGGCAGTACACTATAGTTTATGTTTTTTCTTTTCCTTTCCTTGTATTTTTTATTTTGAATTTCCTTCTATTATTTTAGAACTTTCTTTCTTCTTTACTGAAGGGATTTTATGCCAATGTTGGAAAAATACCATCCTTTTATTCAAGAGAATCAGTTTAACAAGTTTTATACACAATATATATAGAAGTGAAGAAGCCTTGAAAAACTTTTTGACTAACCTTTGGACAGGAACAGAAAGAAAATGGTTTTTGGTAAAAAGAGGACTGTTCAGTGACAGATCTTTGTGATTGAAAAATCTGAGAAGATTAAACACAGAGTAAGACATTTTGGATTTTGGAAGTTATTTCATGAGATGTCCTTATTTCAGTCAAGATTGAAGAAATCATTCTGTAACCCAAGTGAATTAATTTTTCAACAGACTTGATCAACCAAAAGATTGGGGTATACCTTTGTACACCTACTCTCTCAACTATTCTTCTCTCTCTAACCTTCATCCTCTATCAGTAAAATCTTTCACATATTAACATTAAGATTATTATTAACTAGCTGCAAGGACCCGCTTCGCTGGGTTTTTATTTGTATGTAATATAGTTTGTTTTATATATATAAAAGACTGTTTTTCTAAGTAATCTAGAATCTAGCTGCAAGGACCCGCTTTGCTGGGCAAAAAGTAACGATAGTGAAGATTAAGACAATTACATTGTGTTGTTGTACTTTGTAAGAATTCCAGTGTCAATTCAAATAAAATTTTATTTGTAAATATTTTATTTGTTGTCACAACCTGTAACTTAAAATCATACATCTCACAAGGCCAATTAAATTAATTAAAATTTCCAACTACTCTGAAAAATCCTCACAAAATTTCTATATTCTTGTGCATCTTCTATATATAATTTGTTCACAAAGATAAGTATGCTCCCAAATGATACCAACATTGCACCTGTTGTCTAAACCAACATTTTCTTGTATTTCTACACTTTGTTTTCTTCAAAAAGTGTACCCAAGAGAAATGTTAATCTACAACAATTGTCCATTTCACAATAATCTCAAGTGTCAATTATTTTTATTTCAAGCTGTACATAGAACTGAGATTAATCTCTGATATTTGAGTATTCAAGTGTTTTCCAAGACTGACTACTCTCAAATGGATGGTGGTTTGAAAGTAATTTTGAGACTTAATATCAAGATTTAATTACAAGTATACAGGTAGCTTTAGTTTCTTTAAATATCTTTTAAAATTTTAATATTTTAAAAAATAATTTTACTGCATTATATTAAAAAAAAACATTAAATGATTACTTACCTCATCTTGCATATCATCATCCTTAGATGGTTCTGTGATATCACTTTTTATACTTCCTAAACTAATATTTGATGGCGTACGATGATGTCCAGGACTTGCTTTCATTCTTGACATTTCTGATTGCAAATTTTCAAACCTCTGCTCTAACCGAGCATGTTCTTTCAATAATTTCTGATATGCTGTTCGTTCTGATTCAAATTCTTCTAAGAGAAGTCTCTTCTCATTTTCTAATTTTATGGCATTTGTTTCTGTAAAAAAAAAATTGATAAAAAAGCATTAATTTCAACATTTTGTAAATTATTTTTTTATTCATAGTCTTTTAGAAAAAATAATCATCAATTATTATTAAAAGCATACAGTTTCAAAATAAGTATTGTAAAATAATTTCATGAATAAGATAAATTAAATTTATTTTAATTATTTAATCTAAAATTTTGTATGTATGCAAATTTGTACATAAGTATGCACTATACATATGTATGAAATTTCAAATTACAGTTAACTTGCCTTAAAACAAACACTGATGAAGTAAATTTTGCCATTTTCCTGGCAAAATGTCATTGTCCTTAGTTCCATAAATTATACAAGCTTGACCCTGAAAATCTTTAGTTTGCTTTATCAAAAATTTGTATTAACTACTGTTTCCCTAGCAATTTGTATTAACAAAACTTGACCATATAAACTGTATACTCTAATCTAAATAGTTAAATTTAAAATAAATAAAATATATATAT